GGGTTGTGCCCCGTTGGCACCCTTATTTCAATACATATCACATTCTTATTTAAAAAAAAAAAAGGACGAAAAGAAGCACTGACTAGAGAAATATTTAAGCCATGAAAGACAATAATCCAACAAAACACCAATAAATCTGTTTAGGTTGAAAGACATTGTTTGAGTTGAAAGATATTGTTAAAAGTAATGTAATAAAGTTCTACTGCAATTATCTGTTATATATTTAAACTAGTCCATGGACAGCATCAAAAAAGAGTCTAGCAAAACTGACAGCTACATAAGGATGAGACAGAGTGAAATGAGCATATTTGAAGAATCAGTCCGATAACAACCAGTAGCCATTCTTGATATGAGAAAGAGGAAAACCTTCAACAGAATCGAAACTGAAGTCAAACCAAGTCTGTGGTTGTAGTAATCCCGCCAGCTTTATTATAAAATAATACCTAGAACAGGAGCAGAAGATTTTTGCAGCTTTCATCTCAGACCAATGGTCCCAATCGTCAAGGTTTTACTAACCTCAATGAAACTAGTTATAAAGAGCATAAATTCAAGTGCTTTACTTCCTTCCACCAAAATATTACAACTCAAGACAGTGAGCAAGTCCAGATCTAATAGAACAAAGAATCCTAATTCCGGCATGGAAACAGAAGATATGTCAGCATCTTCCATATGACAGGACAAAGCATCTGCAGTGCTACTTTTGCAGACTGCATGAAACTCAACAAAGAAGTCAAAGTCCATTAATTTGCTCAACCAATGCTGTTTATGGAGAAGCAATGATACTTTGTTTCACCAAGAACTTCAAACTCAAATGATTAGTCCTGGGAATAAAAGTGCAACCTCACAAAAAGGACCTTCAGTGACTTGCAACCTCAGATAGACAGTTTGGTTCCTTGTCATAAGCTATAAGACTCTGATTGCCAAAAGATGACGAGTGGCTAAAGAATGTCTTGTGAAGCATAGTCAAAGCAGCAGTGATAACCCCAAAATCCTTCACAAATTATCAACAATAACCAAAAAGACCAAGGAATCATCACAAACAACATGCATTGATAGGTTTAGGCCAGTGCAGCATGGCCAAATTATTGTACCAGTAACCACCACATTTTGACCAGTTTAGAAATAAAGCATGATGCTTGAGTAAAGGAAATGCTAACCTCAAATTACAAATAGGTATATTTTACCCAAATCTGAGTATAGTCGAGGATGTTAGCAAAAAAGACCAAACAACCTCATGCATATATGATTGAAAGACACAACTCATAAGCACTTGAAAAGTAGAGGTGGCATTCATCAATTTAAAGGGCATGACCAAAAATACAAAGTCGCATGGTGAGTACGGAACATTTTCTTTTCTATATCCGAAGAATGATTGCTAATTTGGTGTTACTTTTACCACAAGTCTTACTTGAAAAAGAACTGAGCTCCTTGAGTAATTTATCGATGACTGGACTTTGATAGTAACTTGTTGATACCAACAACATACTCCTGATCAACAGAAGTATAATCTTAAAGTTGACTCACGAAAATTTCTGCTCGTTCTTTTGTGAGAGAACATGAATGTACTGCCAACCAGGCAAAGCAGCATCGATGATTTGTGAGAGAACAATAATGTGATGCCAACCATGCAAAGCAGCATTGATGATCTTCCATGGTGCTCATTGTTTAAGATTGTGAAGTTCTCCCAACTTGCTGCTGTCAATAGGAGGAATGGCAACCTACAATGCTACTTAAAGTCTCCCCCAAGAGATGAAGAGAGATCGTGTCAGTCTTTGTCCAACTTGAGAAACTACAAATGATTATCCCCTCTATGGAAGGAAGCCGAACCACTTCTTTTTATATCCAACAGTGCATATAATGATGGAATAAATGCTCATGGCAACTTAGCATGCCTATAAGATCCAAAGTAACATCAAATTTGGAGTACTTGTGGAAAATTATCACCATCAACATCATTGAAACCCAGAACAGCCCCAGTTTGCTGGTCATGATGTCCACGGTTCACCAGTCCCTTCACTGTAATATCAACCGTCCAATCCAAGCTTGAAAGATCTTCCACAAGTTCTTCCAATTTTGGTCACCAACTGTTACTGTTTGACCTCATAAGTAACTCTATTTTATTCCCATTCAACTTTTTCAAGGGTATGATTCTCCTAGTACATTTTTGAAAAGGACCAAACTGTTGCTGGAAGGACAGAAGTCATCCACAACTCTCTACTTTGACCAACTTGAGACAGTCCCCAACTTGTAATACAGTTATGGATGGTCAAAATCCTAGATCCTGATCTAAGAAGAATAGTGAGATTGAGAAGGAATTGAAGAAGAAAGACTAAAGTTACATAAAAAAAAAAATTGCAAGGAACAGGAAATTTGATTCTCATTCATTTTTCTTTAATAAAAACTTAAGTACACACTGCAACTTGTATAGCTAATAATCCACTAAACAACCTTATCGCAATTAATCTCTAGCTAACTCCCAGTAATCTAAACAAACAAACAAACTATTTCTAGCAGAACTCCAGCATTTATTGATTTGGGTCCTAAAGCCACCCTTCTAATGAAGATTATCCTTGTCTTCAAGGATATCAACCAAACAAAACGAACCACGGCTGCAGAGGAGGGCATAACAAGCAGTTTGAAGATTGCATAAAAGGATTGCAGTTTAAAACAACCTCCTTTTGGCATCTAGATGAACTTGCAGACATGGAGCACGTAAAGCATAACAATCAGACAACCAACTTGTGGGTCTAACTCAAATAATAAGCTATAAGAGCATAGCAACAACTTTTGAAGAAGCTAGGGCAACTCCATCCGAAGTCAGCTGTTCTGTGAAGCTTCTGTTTGCACAAGAGCTGCTTCGTGGATAGCTTTCATGAAATTTTCAACCTATCAACCAGGATCTTTAATGTATTCTCTTTGCTCTTTAGGGTGGTGGTAATAAGCAATGGTGAAGGGATGCCTAAGAGCAATTAGCAGAAGAGAAAGAATATTTTGGGTTGCTAGACAATGAGAAAGTCCAAGGAAAGGAACAAAGAACAAAACGCAGTACTCGCGGAGATTGTCAGACTTCGATACCATCTGTCAATTTATTAGATCCCGATTTAAGAAGAATAAAGAAATGTAGAAGAATTAGGACTGAAATAGCAGAAAAAAAGTTGCAAAGAAAAGTAAACAAGTTTCTGTTATTTTTCTTTGATGAAAAACAATTACAAACTACAGTTTTTTGTAACTGATGATAATCCACTTAATAACCTAACGCAACTAATCTTTAGCTAATTATTAGCAATCTAAACAAAAGGACAAACTGTTTCTAACAAACTCCAACAGTCATCAGTTGTGGGTTCAAGATGGATCTATTTACGAGGAAATTTTAGATGAAGTTGAGAAGAATACTTCTTATGCTTTCTGCCCTTATGACCTATTCTGAATATCAGGAGTCTCTTTAGAGAAAACTCTATGATCTCTGACTTTAGAGGAACTTAACTATGAAAGAAACACTCCTTAAATTCTTTCTTCTCCAAAATAACATATAAATACAGCTGGAATAAAGAGAGAAAAAAAGGCTCAAGAACTACCTCACTACAAAATAGGTCACTACCTCAATGTAAAGAGAATCACTTCCCACACTGTTTTAAGGAAATGAAAAACAACACAATATCTAAAACGTAACCATGCAACTGCAAAAAGAAAAACAAAACAGCTGTTGGTAATTATGCTTCCACCACCTTTCTCAGAACATGGGATTAATATCGTAAACCGTGTACTTTTATCATTATATCTAATTGCACTTTGTAGTTCAATTAAAGTAGCTCGATGATTTTGTAAGATGTGCCAAATTCCAGGACATGGATGAAATTTGTTAACTTTATAATGCGTGGTTTAGAACTATGTGGGCCCATATGCTACACGTTTGAAATTCTTTATTCTCTCTCAGGATAATAGGTAGGGGTGTTAAATATTTCAGAACCGAATATGGAAAAAAACAGACCAAAGATCAGACGTTTCCCCCTTCGCTTCAGCCCAGTCTGAACAGAAAAAATTCTGGTTCATTCTGGCTCAGACTGACCATTTTGTTCTTTTTTTATTTTTAAAAATATTTATAGTAAATCTTTTGAGACAAAATATTCAATAAATTTAAAATATTAATTGAATTTAAATTATTTTTTTAAGTTAACCAGAAGTTAAAAATTAAAAAAAAAAAATTCATTTAATCAGTTCAAACCGAAACCGGACTGAGACAGACTGGTTTCTCGGTCCTTAATTTCCTGGACCGAGGACTGGACCGTCTCTCTACTGGCCCAGTTCGGTCCAATGAGTAAACTGAACTTGTCAGTTAGATCTGGCTTTTCGGTCAAGACCACATAACAAATACCCCTAACAGTAAGGAAGGGAGTTGATAAGGTCGTAGTAGTCTCTACTTATGCAACAAGCAACAGGGAAAAGGCTCCAAGCCCAAATAATTTCTCTATGGCTTTCTTAAAAAACTATTGAACCTAGAAAGGCAATATCCTTAACCTTATTTGGAAATTCTATCATCATTATAAATTTGTATTTTGTCTAAATGCCTCATCCTCGGTCCCAATCCGTAAAATTTAGGACAGCAAGCAAAATTAAACAATGCACATAATTAGCCAGGTTAGGTGTGTGTATAAGTTGTCAGCGAAGGTCCTTAGTATTAGCAAGGTGGTGGGGCAATGTTGTAGATCAATGTCAGCTAGCATTCATGAAAGGTAGACAAATTCTTGATGCAGTCCTTATGGCCAATGAATGGTAGATGCCGTGAAGAAAGGAAGAGAGCCAAGAGTCTTGTGCAAGCTAGATGTTGAAAAGACCTATTATTTAGAAATTCACTAAGCTAAGTGATTTAATAAAAATGTTAGCAATTTTACACTGATGAGAATATGATATTTAATGATATTATCCCAAAAAAAAAAATGATTGAATGAAAATTTTTATTACAGGTCTTTTTCTTCAAAACTCATACACTCACAATAAAAATATGTGTGCATAAACAGTTTCTTAGATATATTTCTCTCAAAGTTGCCTTTAAATCAGGATAGTGCTTTCAAGTTCAGATTAAGCACTTTGGAAATATAAAGAAGATATTGCAACTGTCCATATCTATCGAAAATGTAATAGGACCTGAACTCATTGTCATCCTTCATGACATATGGAATACAAAGAAAAATTGAGTATAGTTGATACCTATTTCAATATTTTGTTAAAATTTCTGCACCAGTTCTAGTAATTAAAATGGTATGCTCAAACTGCGCGGCAGAACTTCCATCAACAGTCAAAGTTGTCCAGTTGTCAGGCCATGTTATGCATTCAATACTTCCCATGGTTAGAATAGGTTCTGCAGCAAAAAGAAACAAAAGCAAATGTGCAACATATCCAACAAACTCACCATAAAAGGAAGAAAATAATATCGGTCAGTAATTTTCAATTGTTTTCATGGAAGATCCCAATAACAGTGTGGTTTGTAATTGTCTACATGTTTAACTATATTTCAACTCATAGTCACTAGTAGTTCTCAGTGATTTAAGAGATCAAAATTCAGTAGCTCCTTTGAAGCAAGTTTGAAGCATATATGACATTTAGAAGCAAATTTTTAAGTTTGTGATTAGATTATGCTGGGATAGATAAACAGGAGTTAAAAATGGGGTTAAAATATGTTAGAGTGGCTATAGATAAAGAATTAGCTTTTACTTACAAAAAATGCTTGTGCTGTTTATAAGAAATTCACTTACCAATTGTGAAAGTCTGACCTTCAACCATGCGACCAGGTTCCTCATTGCCTGTCAAACAATGATTAATTATGTGCAGAAGACTTCTGGTAATAATTTTTACTGTAGATATGCAATTATAGATAGTAGCATATATCATGTCAATCTGCCCAACATTTATGTTTCCTGTGCATGAGTTTCCACCGAGCTTAACTGATGAAATTTTACATTGAAAAACTGCTACATGCCTCTTATCAAAAAGAAAACCAAAAACTTATTTGCCTGCAAATCACTTAATGTTGCAGCTACAGGTTGCCATGTATATCCACTTTGACAATAAAATGGGGACGAATGCAGATATGAAGCCAAAAAAATCACAACATAGGCCCAAGTAATTGGAACTAAGCTTTGTTGAGGGAGAATTAGTGCATACTTTACATATACTGTTTCCTTTCAAATAAAACTTTACATACATTGCTAGATTGGTTAGAGTTTAATCCAATACTTGAAGCAGGATGGAATTCTACAGAAAGCATACAAAAGATTTGTTTCCTTGATTTTTTTACTTATGACAATGTTGTACTTACCAAGATAATACGAATAACTAGAAATAAGAGATTACTTACGGTGATGATATATAATAGGCTCTGAATGAAATACAGTTCCAACACCATGCCCAACAAAGCGCTCCACAACGCCATAACCGTATTTTTCAGCATGCTCACTGGGGAAATGATAGAGTGAAGTGTTTTCAAAGTAAAAATAAAAAGAGAAGTAGAAAATAAAAAAACAAAATAACTTTCCGTCATGGCAAAGACACCAAAAGAATGGGTTAACTGGCAATAGAACCCAAGATAACATAATGAGAGGACCTCATTTTTCATTCAAGATAGTAAGAAATAAAGAATGCAAACTTCATATGAATAACATTATCTAAGTACATCATAAAAATTCAAAATAAACATTTATCTTCACCCAAGGGGTTGAGGACTAAAAAGAATAGGTTCTTCTTTGATATACTAATTCAAACAGAAAATAATACTGAATAGATTCTGAGTCATCAACTCTTCAATTAATACAGTATAAACATGTTATGGTCTAAGATAAAAATAAGATAGTGGTTGAGAGCTGTTCCTGGGGACATCTATATATGGCACGGAGTTAATAGCCTGCATTGGTATGAATAGTTTATTTTTAGGTTATTTATCTTTACATGCTGCTGCTTTTGTTTTCCTTATACCCGGGAGTCAATTCCTTCACTTATAGAAAATTACCTACTCCTTACTGGTAGTTGTATATCCTCTTGTCCTTGAATATATGCATTTATAATGACTTCTTGAAAAAACAAAAGAGTAGGAAGAGAATAATTTCATAAAGTTTTTGAGTACTTTTCTTACTCAAAGATATCCTCGGATTCTCTCTTAACAAGCACAAACTTTTCTAGACCAACTATGGAAGAAAACAATAAGATTTCAGGCTGAAACTTTTTTTTTTTTCTGTTTCAAATCCTATAAGTAAATACAGGGCTAAGGAAAGTATAAATTTGGTGCAGAACACTGTAGTTATAGATGAAGATATCGAAGGGTCCATCATAACGAGCCCTTACATCCATATTCAAGAATCTTAAGAACTATAATTCAAATAGAGAAGGTCTCTGGCCAGTTAATCTGCAACTCTTTGGATCTACTTGAGAATGCTGAAAGTAGTTCAGAGGCCAAAAGTTGAATGTCGATGGACTTTCTATATCTAACATCCAAATGAATCAAGCCCACAAGCAAAGGTTTCTTGGGAATTAGCACCATTATCTTACTTCCGCACTTGAGGACAAGCGTGCTTAAAAGGGGGAAGTGATATTATGGGCTATAATAAAAATGAAACAGTTGTTGAGAGTGTTTTCCTTGGGATATCCACACAAACAGCGACTTACTAGCCTGCTAAAGGAGGTTATATTTTGTCTATTTATCTTTATTGTGGCAGTCTTTTGTCGTGTGGGAGTTGCTTACTTCAGTTATGAGGAGTTACTCTTTGGGGATAGTTGTATGTCCTTATGTTTCCCCCTCGAAGATGTATTTATCTATAATCAGTTCTAGGAGAAATAAAGTAGGCAGGAAATAATTCTCAGAAGATTTTTTTACTACTTTTCTTACTCAAAAGAGTTCAATGGGTTCTCTAGTTTGAACGAGACCAAATAAGTTAGAAAAGGAAAAGAGAGGGAAAGTACTGGCGAATAGATGCTACTTATGCAAGGGCAGTAAGGAGACTTGCAAACATTCTTCTTTAGTGCCCATTTGCTCACCTGCTTTGATCCTTGGTCTATGGTTGCTGGGGATCGATTGGGGTCATTGTTGGCACAGTTAGGGGTAGTTGTGGGCCTGGAAGGGTTTTTCAAGGGAGAAAGAACATTTAAGGTTTGTTCCTCTAGCTACTATTTGGATTATATGTACGAAAAGGAAGAGAAGAGCATTTGATGGGGTTGAATTTTTTTTTGATAAATTTAGGATTCTTGATTCCAGGCTTTAAATTTTTTTAAAAAGAGTCAACTGTTCTATTCTAGCGAGGATTTTAGGGACCTTACAGATATTTTGCTTGAATTGTAAATGTTCTATATAAAGGTTGATGCAGAAGAGGAAACTTCTAAAGTTGCTATATTTCAATAATAAGAGATATGAAGAAGAACCAATGAAGGAACATAAAAGTTTTAGGAAATTAACTAGAAGGAATAGGAATATTTAATTTCCTTTTCTAAGTTTTGTAAAGTTTTACAATAAAAGGAAATACGAAGGTCTCAGACTATACCAACTGATCCTATTATTAAGATATGCCCGTTAGGCACCCCTTTAGTGGCTTATAATTTACACTTTCACTACCAAAAAAAAGGTTATAAAAGCAAAAGATTGTAGATGCATTCTGCAATTTCTTTATATTAAAAAAAAAAAAAAACTTAAACTTTGTTTTAGGTTCTATAGCTAGATCCAAAGAACAATGAACATATCAAGACTCGATATTTTCAACAGAAACCTTAAGTATTGTCCAATGATGCCAAAATAATGGTTCTCCTAACAGGTCAAAATGAAACATGCAGAGAACTTGCAGACAGAATCATCACTCCTGAATTTAATACGTTAAAAAGCAATATTATTTTCATGACTTCATGATTACTTTGCTAAGTTGGAGACAGTTTGCAGAACCTAGAACTCTCTTAACAAAAGTAATTACTAAGCTTGAAAGCGACCAATCTCTATGCTTTTAGAAAAAGACACTTGAGCTGCCTTAAGTTAATTATTACATTTTTCGTGGTGAAGACCATATACTTTCACCTGACAGCACTGCTTTCTTTGCAGTTCAACACACTGAGAGAAGAAGGATGAGAATACCTGATTCTCTTTCCAATTTTCTTGAAACTTGCTCCATCCTTGCAAACAGCTATACCTCTCTCCAAGCATTCTTCTGTTATCTGCCACAAGATGCTGTGACACAATCAGCATCTAGATAGAAGTTGAAGATTAATTTAGAAAGCAGCATTTTAAACAATCTTATCATTTGTAAGAATGCATGAACAAAAAAATTAATACAACAATTTGGATCCTAACTGCTGTAGATATTACGAGATCATAAAATAATCATCAAAAAGTCACAATTATAAGATAATCAATAGCTGTTTCAATGCAGATTAACAAATTTACCTTCACAAGGCGTTTGAGGGCGTCACTAACATCCCCACAAAGATAAGTCTTTGATGTGTCTCCATGATAACCCTAATGGAAAAAAATGATGTCATATAAAGACAACACAATTATAAAGTCTAAGAATGCTATAGCCCATGCAAAACCAAGGAGATAAAGAAGAATCAAACACATATTTTGCTACCTTGTCTTACACCAATTATGCATACTGTTAGATAAAGTAGAAAAATTATTCAAATATATGCAATGCAAGCAAACAACGAAATAATTTTTAAAAAAAATAAAAGTCAAGTATAGTTTTTTTAAAAAAATAAAAGTAAAGTATCATTATGCACAAATTACCAAGTGGGTACCGCCCATATACAAAATAATTACAAGTTTATCAATTGGTTAATGACCTCACCCATATCATGCAGGTCTTTAATATCATGACCCATCAGAATAGATCCAAAGATGTAAAGCTATCAATCCCTAATATTACCAAGGTTAGTCTCAACCCCCTCAAAAGCTCTAGCATTTTGTTCTTTTCAAATCACCCAAAAAATAATAAGTGATACAAGAAATAAATGCCTCCCTTTTTTTAACCCAAACCCTCCCAAGCTCAAAGTTCATTACTTACACTATCCGCCATAATCCAATCCACCCCAATAAGCCTCGACACAGAAGACCTTATGCTGTATGTAACAGGGCAACCCAGCAGCAAATGTTAACAAGTCTCCTCATCGGATTTACAGAAATAACACCTGTTTATCAGCACATTCTCTCTTCTTCTAAGCATGTCAATTGTTAAAATCCTCTCTTTAATCGCTTCCCAAGCAAAAAAAAAAAACTAGTTTGTGGTGGCGTTTTAGATCCATATTTGTTTGAAAGGGGCTATTTGGTTGTTGTTCTCTCTCATAGCAATAAATTCATAGTATGATTTTACAGAGAAACCCATCTTTTTGTCTAACTTCCAAGCTCTTTTATCATTGTTATCAGAGATTTTAATATTAGATAAACACAGCAGCAACTCCACGTACTCTTCCACTTCCCAATCCTGCAAATTATGCCTAACCGGCACATTCCACACCCTTCCCCGTCGCCCCATTACCAACCTGCCATCCCAAACATTTCTCAAAAATGTTGCTGCCATCCCTGATTTTCTTCCATAACCCCATCCCAATCTGTCTGAATTTACCCCTCCTCCCTCTCTCCATCTCGCCCTAACAACTTGCTTCCACAACCGCTCCTCAATAGAAAACCTCCAAAACCATTTACCTTGGAGTGCAATGTTCATCGCTCCAGTGGATCTAATACCCAACCCACCTTCTCTAATGGGCCTCTTCACATCTTCCACTTTACTAAATGATATTTTTTATCAACCACTTCATCACCCCAAAGGAATCGACATTGAATCTTCTCAAGTTTGTCACAATACTAGCTGGAATAGTTAGGATAGAAAGATAATAAATAGGTAGATTTGCAAGGGTGCTCTTAATCAAAGTGAGCCTACCCCATTTAGATAAATACGCCATTTTCCACCCCGCCAACCTCCTTTCAAATAAATCCAGTTCCCAAATATTAACATCTTTATATTTAGCGCCCAACGGAATCCCAAGGTACTTAATTGGTAAAGCGGTAACCTTGCAGCCCAACACCTGCGCCATCCTCCTCTCATCCCCTCTACTCCCAAGGAGATATCACATGAGGTACCAACAAGGTACCACCCTTATACAAAATATTTACATGTCAATAATATGGTCAATGCATTCTCAAAATTATCCAACTCATTAATGTTAAGACCCAAAATCATGGAACCAAAAACATGAATTCATCTATCTCTAATGTTAACAATCTCCCTTTCAATACCATCAAAAACTCTAACATTTCTCTCCTTCCACACCCCCAAAAGATAGATAAAAAAAATTAAGAGTAATTAAGTTTTCTTTTTACATAAACCCGCCTACGCCCACAATTCATCTCTCACAGAATCCACAATAACCCAATTGATCCTCAAGAGACCATACACCATAGACCATATGCTTTAAACCATCAGCCACCACAACATGATATGATTATAAGATTCCGCATCCAACTTGCATAAGAAGCATTAGTTTAATCATGATTTTACCCCCTCCTCATCAGTATATAAATAGTCAAAATACATTCTCCCCATGCTTTCCAAGTAAAGAAAGCAACTCTTGGATGGGCCTCAAACAGAAAAACAAAATGAAAACTGTTACCACAGTTGTCCTTGCAGAAGATGCAAAATAAAGCTCAAAATTTCCGTAATCACCTTGAAACAATTATGAGGGAGAACATTCATGTCAGTCTTTTCCGATTTCTGGTAGTCTAGTGCAATAGTGAGCCCAGTTTCCCACAACATTATTCCCTCTCTTATCGAAACCTTTGCAGTCTAATTTTTCTTTAATTAATACTAACTGTAACATATCATGTGCACGAATGACCTCTAGAGCAGTTTCTCTGTTCATTGCATTAATATTAACCACAAAATCCTAGAAATCATGTGTCTAGCTGTACAAGTCAGAAAAGGATGAGCTTTTGTTAGGAAATGACATCACAATTGTCTATGCCATCCTAGAGATACCAATCACTTGGTTTGAACCATTCCCTGCATTGATTTCCTTTTCATATTCTAAATAGTAAATACATCATAATAAGCACTACATCAAGTACATGAGAATTCTATACTTCCTACATTCTCTTATAGACCCAGGAACACAAATTAGCCCCGCAACTAGATTGTTTCCCTGTTAAATTTTTATAGAACAATTTTTTGATAAATAGTTTCCTCCTTAGCATTAATACATACAACTAACTTGGAAGATATCCCATCTCTTTAAGCATTTTATTGTAAGTGTTAGCACTTGAGGTACACCTAACATATATGGCAGTTAATATAGAAGTCACAAATGGATAAGTATAAAAAAGGGACAGCTTTCAACCGGATTGATGTCGAACTGTATGGTGCCAAGAGTTTAATGAATATACTCTTTAAGAAAAGTAATATCACAAAGTCATGACATAAAAAAGTTGAGATGAAAAGAATATAGGATCATACATTCAAGTAAACCGTGACGTCGATGTTTAGTATGTCACCATTCTGCACAGGAGAGAATTGTCAGTTGAGAAAATCGTGAATATCATGCAAGTAGCAATAAGCACATGCGATACCTGTAACTGCCGAGAATCAGGTATCCCATGGCACATGCACTCATTTACTGAGGTGCACACACTCTTAGGAAATCTTCCATAGCCAAGAGGTGAAGGATAAGCACCAGCCTCAATGATCATCTGATGTACTGCTTTGTCGATTTCATTTGTTGTCACAGACGGCTGAGTGAGATTTAAAAAAGTGTCATGCAAATATAGACCAAGAAGTAGATGGAGATTAAGCCTTTCCACGCTTAAAAACTCAGGCAGCTGAAGTTAATCAACGATGAAAATTCCATCTGATTTCATGTTTTCAGAACAAATAAAACATGTAATTCTCACCCTC